CCTTCTCAAAGTTGGCAGACCTGAAGTTTGACGGCTCATAAGTCACTACCAAATAAGAGTTAAGAAATTCTACACATATTAATGAAATAGATGGCAAAAATCTACTGAAAAATGGTTTTATCTTTGTTGAAAGTGTCAGCACAATGGCAGTATTTTCAAATCAGTTTTCCTTACTTTGTAAGCTTCTTCTCCCCGGCAATGCTCTTTAAACATTATTAGATGATAAAGAAAGACTTTTACCAGCTCTAGAGAAAGATCTATAAGCCTAGAGTATGAAGTTTTAAAGTTATGTATTTTTAAAAAGACATTAAAAACAGACAGAATGAATGACAGACAGACAACCAAACTACCTAATACCCGCCTACGCGGCGAGTCCAATAAATCCTTAGTAGTTATAATAAAAGAAAAAACATACTGCATAGCTCGTAATCTTGGAGGATGTTTTGATAGCCATTCATCAAAATAAACCCATTATTTGCATGCTCAATGGCCACAAATTAAACCCACCAATCCTTAGTAGTTCAAGTGTACAAAATGAAAATAAAGATTTTGTCTTGCTAAAATTGTTTTATTTATCATTTTTAAGATCGATGTGGCTATAAAACAACAAACACCTTAGGGTAGGTATTAATTGCGCTCTTAAATTTTAGCGTTTTTAAGGGGGTCCTGATTTAGCGAAATGTAATATTAGGGAAAATAGGAAGAAAATCAATGGTAAAACCCCCATTCAATAGCATATACCCCCCATAACATAACTCAAGAAGCCCAATCTATACATTTAAGAGCAGAAAACTTAATAGGACCACCCTATCTACTATTATCTTGTTACACATCTTGCCTATCTTGTGTACTTGTTTACACAAGTTTTTAATAACTATTATTAGCGACTGGTTGAATTAGCGATTTGAAGTACACTCGCTAAAATTAAGTGTCGCAATTAATACCCATCCTAAGGTAAATCAACAACAACAGCAATAATAATAATAATGATAATAATAACAAGGACAATAATAATAATAATTACTTCTTTGAGTTGTTGTTCTTGTCAAAAAATTTCAATTTTTAAGATCCGATACATAGCCCCTCCCATATCTGGTCTCTATGCCCTCACTAATGAAATCCTTAAGAGTCCAACACATGAATGGATCAAAAAAGACATTTGCAAACTCTAAATAAAGTTTTGAGTAGTGAAGAACATGTAAACTTAATCTTTACCCGATTCAAAAGGCTCCTTGTTCCTAAAAAATAATTATCATTAATTAAAATTAGTTAATTAGCCTAATAAATTTAATCGTCCCGCCCACCCACGTGCTAACCTGAGTCACCTCCGCGTTTTTCATAACTTTAAATGGCTTTCCTTCAGTATTGTTGAGCTCTGGGGCATTATTCTCTCTCCTCGCTTTCTTACTAGACTGACCAGGACCTGTTGTAGGCGCTAAGGCGGGGAACTCAACAGAAGCAGCAACATCATCGCCATCACGGCCCGTTTTGCCATCGTTTACTTTTGGATATCACCGTATACTGCGTTAAAATGGTGAGTGTGTGGTTTTTGGTGTATTTTATTATTATTTTGTTTTATTTCTAGTTGCCATTATCTTTATTAAAGGCAGCACAGGATAATCCTATGGTAAGGAAACATTTGAAATTAATTACATTGGGCGTGTTTATTGAACGTAAAATAAATTAAGTATATTGTAGCATGTCCAGCTATTGCAATGGGACTTCCGGTCGCATTGATTTAATGATATTCATTGGAATTACCATAGCAACGGCAGCTCAGCAATGGTGGATTGATAGGACGCTTCACTACAAAGCCTGCTAACGTCTTTCTGGTTCATGGATGGGACCTCACTAGATACTTGGAGCTTCTTGAATGCTACTTAATGCAATTGGTTATGGTAGTTTTTTCATATTCTATTGTTAAAGTGGCAGGCGTGGCGCAAGAAGACTCATCCACTAACAAAAGGCCTTCTTGTTATTACTTTAAAAGGATCTAGAGACATGATTTACTTGTATAGCTGTTAAGCACTCTTAGTTTTACTTTATTATTCCCGTGAGAAGAGAAAAGCACTTGTTCACTCTTGTTGCTGCACCCGTTATCACTGAGACAACTAAAATTATTTCACCTTTAGAAGACTAAAGTACCGAACAAAGTTTTGAATTTCTTTATCTTTTTTGCATGATTGGGCAGTAAAAATGTTGTACTTTCACAAAATAAGTGCGCAATTTGTCAAAAATTGTTTGAAATTTAGATATAACCATTCAAAAAGTAAAAAAATTATCATACATACATAAAGGAATGACAAAATGGCGGCACTGACTGCCCTCATCTTTAATCTGCAAATGTTCCACACAAAGTTACTCCAAGTGCTGTCATATTTAGCAGGAACACAGGTATAATTATGGAGAACAACTACTGAAGTGTGCAAATTGATGAGACTTATTCTGAAGAAAGATATAGCCTAGTAAATGGAAATGTCCATTCCTGCCCTGTATAAAGTCAACCAGTAGTATACGGAGATAATTGCTCAGTATACTAATCCGCGACCACTCATTGCTGGACATGGGCTTGTAGCCATTTACATGTACATTAAAGAGTTAAATTCAAGCACCATAATAAAGTAATGGGTAATATTCTCTTCCTCCTCTTTCACTCTGTTTCTCCATTAGCTGGTTGAGTTGAAGAATGGTGAGACGTATAATGGTCATTTGGTTAGTTGTGATAACTGGATGAACATACAACTGAAGGAAGTCATTTGCACATCAAGAGTAAGACCTTACATGTAACATATAATGATACATGTATATATATATATTATGTAAATGTATTCTTATTATTTAAAATGCACATTATGCCACTTCAATATTTGGGGCAAACATGGGTGAACCCCACTAAGATGAGTAGAGTTTGTTTGTACACATATGTATTCTGTATCTCCTCTATATATCCATGATAGCACATGCATTAGCAATGCAATAGATTCTACAATTTTAATATTTCCATTGAAAGTGGGAATGGCCACAATAAAATTAAATAGTGATCACCACACGGGAAGAAGTCGTGAGTTTTCTAGCAACAAGATAAGGCAAAAACACCGTTCATGACTTCTCCAACAGCTTAAGAAGGTTAAAGATGCAATAAAGTAACTATGAAACTCCTTTTTGTTGACATAATAGCTATAAAAACTGTAAAAGTCAAGCAAATGTCAGTTTTGAACTGACATGACTAAACTGGCAATCTTTTTACTGTATTCTACATCAGATGCATAGAATACAGTAGAAAGATTGCCAGTCACTTTAACTGTAGGAGCTTTTTACACTGACTTGCAAATGCCATCAGTCTGATGGATGGCATTTGCAAGTCAGTGTAAAAAGCTCTTACAGTTAAAGCAACAGGCTCTTTTAGGCAACAAAGATTTTCAAGTCATTTCATTTCAAAAGTCATTTCAAAGATATAGGATATAAGCTGCAATCAATAACGAGAGTAGACTTAACTCAACCAAAGGCAGAAGTTGATCCAGTGACACAACTATATGTAATAACTTGGTTTTGTTCATTTTTGTCATTGACAACTTGAAATGAACTATTAAAAGTTGTAATAGCTTATTATTTTCAAAGCTCGCTCGTGCTCGCCCCATAATGTTTTTAACATCGTCCTAGTTCTATGTACATCAAAGTGTGTGTGTTACATACATGTATGTAGTAGTATCAAGGGTATTAATAGAGTGTCAATGATGTTTTAATGTTTATTGTATCATACTGTAGGATGGTGAGAGGTTTTGGAAGATGCCAGAGTGTTTCATAAGAGGCAGTATGACTAAATATTTAAGAATTCCTGATGAGGTACGTATAAACATGAGTAATACAGTATGTATTTAAAATTTTAAAGCTTAGTATTGCAAATTTTTAATAAAAAACAAAAAATTACAATGTATACATTTTATTTACAACAATCTTGTGTGGAATTTTAGTAATTGGCATTATTTTTAATACCCATAACTGTAGAAATTGCGGTTTAGAGTCAGCCCAAACTTTCTACTTTCTTGTATCAGAAATGTAATAAAAATTGGGGGGGGGGATTTTGGAGCTGATTTTCAGAAAAAGTATAGGCTATAGCCTTTACTTTTTTTCAAAATTGACTTGTTTTTTAAATGCTCATAACTCAAAAATTATTTGCTGGAATTATTTTTTTTATTATTTAAATAAAACACAAAAGTGTACAACCATGTACAATGTACATGTATGTACATTTACAAAATTGGCATATTTTAGATGATAACTTCAAAAAATGTTGTTAGAATCAGCTCAAACTTTCTACATAGCATAAGGACATCAATATGTATCAGAAAATGTAATAAAATTTGGGGTGATTTAGGAGCTGATTTTCATAAAAAAGCATGGGCATGCTTTATTCAAAAAATTGGTTTGTAATGCTCATAACTCAAAAATTATTTGTTGGAAACAATCTTCATACATGTAACATCAGGACATTAACATGTACATGTATCAAATAATGTAATTAAAGTTTTGGGTGATTTTGGAGCCCTATAGTCTTTGCTTTTTTTTCAAAAATTGGTTTGTTTTTTTAATGCTTATAACTCAAAAATTATTTGTTGAAAACAGCTCAAATTTTCTACGTAGATATTACAAAATTTAGTTGTCTTGTTGGAGCAATTTTTAAAAGAGGAAATGTTATATTTCTTTTGACAAATCTGTCTTTAGCCTGGAATTCCTCTTATTGATTAGGTGATTGACAAGGTAAAGGAGGAAGCTTTTAAACCACGTGGACCAAGACCAGGTGAGATAGAGGGAGAGAGACTCTTGTAGTAGAAGGTTCTTTTAATATTTTTAGTATGTCTTGATTTTGTACTTGAAAGCTGAAAGTACATGTACATGTATATTATATTGTTTTAGTCTAATTAATCTTACATAAATACAATACATACAATTGCTCCTTTGACTAATTCAATGTTTTGGTACATGATTGGTACATGCATTAATTAGTAAATGTACTTGCATTATCATTATTATTATGATGATTGCTATATTTAATTATTTTATCTATTTATTCACAGGTGGTGGCCCCAGAAGAGGAGGAGGAGGAGGAGGAAGAGGTAAGTGTAATATAATTTTTTAAATTAGAAAATAATTTACTATTAAAAATTAATTGTGCATGTACATGTACATACATTGTACAGTAGAAGACAATAAAAACTTTGCGTTCCGTTTACGTTGAACGGCGATTAAACGGTAGCGCCGTTTCTGTTTTTATTGTGGTTGTTCCGTTCATGGTCCGTTGGGTCTGGGCACTACCGTTTTTATTATCATGAACAACGCTCCAAGCGTTGCTCGACTTTTCTCTTTTCTGACAGTTTCTTCAGGAGTCAGGCTTTCTTAGATACACTTACAAAACGACTATGAGCCATTATTGATGATAAAACGAGACAGGTAAGTCGTAAACGTAGCGACATACATTTTATATAATTCACCCACCTTATCTCATGTTATATGATTCAATAGGACGACAAGAAGTAGTCACAAGAAAAAGTGCTCTGTCAAGCAAAGAAGCAGCTATTATATTATTATCATTTTATAAAATAAAATCATGTAATTATAGACCTGCTAGTACCAAGATCAAAATGCATGACGCTTGAATCTTTTATAAAATATAATATATAATACAAGTTTTTGAAAGTAAGAGTAGAATAATGATAGAAATAATAATAATACTGATAACTAATGCTTATCACACAATAAATTGACACTACACCGGCCTGGCGGCCCGTCCTTCAACGACACGAGTACTTCACACCTCGACTTCACACAGTGTCTCCTTGAGTTGAGGTCCACACTGAACTGATATGACAGTAGTATCTCCAGAGCGGCAGTCAAGAACGAGCATAGTAGTATCTGTGGGGTAAAGAAAACTCGAGAAAACCAAGGAGGCAAGGACAAAATGTTGAGCCAACGTAAAAACGTGCTCCATGGAAAAACGGAAGTAAACGTTTTTTATATAGCGTTGAAACGCCCAATGGCCGTTCAACGTAAACAGAACGCGAAGTTTTTATTGTCTTCTCCTGTACATACATGTATTACACACTTGGCTTCTAGTATGCATGCTAATGTCCATTATGAATTCATGTATCTGCACAAGAGATAGAACTGTCATATTATTTTATGGTTTGTAGAAAGGCATTACCTTAATACCAGCTTTGACAATAATTGTGCATATACATGTACAAGTGAAAGTTTTGGAGAATTATTTTTGGATGGGGTAGAGTTCTCAGAATAATTATTATGTACACATACATGTACATGCATGCACATGTATATTTTTAATATAATTTTTATTATAGTACATGTACAATGTACAATGTACATACATGTACATGTAAATAGTAAGGCTACGAAATAAAAGTGATATATTTATTTTCGTTTCTACACGTCATTGCATTTCAGTCCTTTGATCTCTGCCCCCCATAACGGACAAACA